AGCACTTCTACAACTTTACAAGAAACTTGGCCGCTGAGTTTGTAGAAATCCGATTATAACTTTCTAACTTTACACTAATTACTTACTACTATTTGAACTGAAATGTTAAATAAAAGTCAGTTTGGTTCACCTGCCCATCCAACCATTAAGGTGCGTGGTTTTATATTTGCAGTATTTAAGGGAAAAAAAATTTACTACCGTCTGAGCATGGCGAACTAGAACTTTAAACGTTTTCCTGTAGAAGTTCTCAGATTTCCTGAGTCTTCATTCTTACATGCTAACCATCTTGTGGGAGACTTCAATTTTCATATGATCACCCGTTCTATTGTCTGAAAACACCAACTATACTACAACATTAATCTTGACGACAACTTCAAAAATCCCAATCATAAGCAACAAAGAGATACAGAAAAAAAACGTAGGTTCGCCTATTGCTTCCAAAGAACTTATGGCTTGCGACTTCCTCTCAAGGAAAATAAGTTAACGTAGAAGGTTGCTATAGTTTCAATAAAAGATGATAAACACTCTTCCCATTTGTGCCGCGTTTTTTATTTAGTTCAGATTAACCCTTTAATGAATTAAAACCCTTAACCCAACAAGATTTTCAATTTACTCAGGTAGAACTTCTAATTCCATCCAATCCATTTTGTGCATTGCTGCATTTCTGCATTGATTCTATCTTTACAGCCTAAAGAAAAGATTAGAAAATATGATTTAAAATAGAAACTCGATTTATCATGTTGACAATAGAAGTTTTATGTTCATGGCTGTGTGATAAATAATCGTGATACCGTAATGATTCGATTTACCGCTCTCGCTATAATAAGCGCACCCTCTCACACCCTCTCGCACCCTCTCGCACCCTCTCGCACCCTCTCGCACCCTCTCGCACCCTCTCTAATAAGCTCTCTCATCTATTTAATTTATCACTCATTTTAAAATTTTGTGACAATTGCCTGCAGCTGGCTGCCGCTGGTCGTTCTATCCAGGAAGGTTCATCAAGGATCCAGGGGGAACCAGTCTGTTTTTGATCCTTTTCAAAATAAATGTCAAAGCTTTGTTTGTGCATTATGCTGTTCCTCAAAAAACAAAATAACGTCTTGTCCCTAATAAGCCCCCTGTGTCCGATGGGCACCCTCCCTTGAGGTATCAAAAGTAAACAAGCGCCCAGGAGCTAAATCGAATCATTACGGTAATAAAAATATCGTTTATTTTAATATTGAGCTACTGTGCAGTGTTGTTTAAATGTCGCTACTTAAATTTTATCTTACTCGTGACTTGCCTTACATTCTTGATGATCGTTTTTTTTTGTAGTGTTTGTTAATTTTCTTCTTCTAATTGGTATCCAGACTATTAAGATCGGTGTTATTTTTAAATAACATTGATTAAATAACACCGATTTTAAATTTTAAAAAATTTAAATACGACAGTGCAAACCCCCCCATCCCCCTCCCACAGTTTCTTCCCATAAGGACTGACCTAGACAGATCTGAGAATTTAAGATTCCGGCCCGCTCAGATGATTCAGTGAAAATAAATAGTTGTTACTTCTGTTGTTCTGGCTTTTATTCTTTTCTAT